CGGTTAAAATGTGTCCGTCATATGACGGACGAAAGCTCAGCACATTTTCACCGGAATCGAAGGAGATTGCCTCGAAAACAGCGTCAGCATGAATCTTCCAGTAAAGCCAATCTACAGCTGGTCAAGAGAAATCCGCTGTCGTCTTCTGGTGGAAAGGACATTCGAATCTCTTGACTCAACATTTCCACTCGAAATGGAAGTAAACTCAACAATTAGAAAACAAAAGATTCGTCAAAACCCAACTTTTCTTCGTATAACAATAATTCTCCAAAACACGAAGACAATAAAGGTAGTCAGCTTCAAACCTACCTCCTTATTATAATCCAATTTCAGGGAAGGATGCAGTTGTTTTGCTTCAATTGCACTAATCTCACGTTTTATCTGTAGCCACTTCACTTATCTTATGATCAAATATATTGGCAAAGCATAGGACATTCTTCTACAGTCAGTCCACTTATCACCCTAAAATGAAATAGATAAATACACCTCTTTTAAACTTATATAAATTGCTCTGTTATAATAAAATGTCAATTACCATATACGGATTTAAGGAAATTATCGGAGAGCATTAGACTTTACAATGAGAGAAATTATAAAATAAAATTCCCCGTTCATAAGCCATCTGCCGAGTCGACAAAATTGGACTATAAGAAGGAAGTAGATTTGAAGCCGGCCACCTTTCTTGTCTTCGCGTTTTTGGTGAGTTATAGTTAAGCATGGTGTTCTGCTCTAAGGATGTGTATCACATAACGGACGAAAGTTCGACACTGATTCATCAAGGTTTCAGGACGGTGTGCTGAAACTCCAAAGCAATCCCTCCACAGCTTCCGGTAGAACCAACTTGCGAATCTCTTCCAATCGCTTCTTCAAACGAAATTAACGGTACTGTGACATTTAACTAATTCACTTTTTTCGTTTATAATTAGAAGTTAAAGATCACCGGTAGAGAATATATATGAGCACTATTTATATTATTTCGTTTAGGGTGATAGGGGGACTGGTAATTGAATTGTCCCACAAAAATATGAGTAGGCATGACGTTTCCGTATAATTTTGCATAGCTATAGTCTCCAAAAAGTTACTCTCATCCAGGGTGGATTAAAGTTTCAACCACGCCTAGGTCTTATAAATACCTCAGAGAGACTCGAACCATGAAATTTCAGAGTATAATATCGACACGTTAATAACTACGTTATACTTCCACGAGTGCACTTGGGTCACCACTAAACGGAATATGGAAATAATTTCTGGCATTCCTTAAAATTTGCATCTGCCCTGTGACCCTCGGTGACTATAAGAATTAGGCGTAGTGGTTAACGTGCCTAGATTAAACACTTAACTATTAAGGTTCGAGTCCCCCTGGGGGTGTTGATAAGACCTAGCCGAGGGTGAAACTGAATTCCCCCGTGGATTATAATTACTTTTTGGAAAGTAAGGTTGTGTGAAATTCCATCTAAACGTCCTGTCTACTCATAGCATCATAGAAAAATTTTACTGTCAGTCCCCTTATCACCCTAAAATGAAATAGGATGAATACATCTCACTTTAAACTTATATAAGTTGCTCTGTTATAATAAAATGTCAATTAACATATACGGATTTAATGAACTTATCAGACAGTGTTAGACTTTATAATGAGATAAATTATAAAATAAAGTTTACCGTTCATAAGCCATCTGCCGAGCCCATTCAGCTTGAAATTCTTGCGGGATAATTTTTCGTAGTAGTTGAGTCGCTTGCATGTACCAAATGATCTAAAAAATATTGTAAAACGTAAGTATCATTTAAATTAATTTATGACTTAATTTAATGCAAAACGGTCTCACATTTTTTATTTCTTCGTCAGTGCGTAAATGACTTTGCTTAATAAGCGATTCATGTAGCTCATGGACCAACTGTAATATAAATGGAATCAGGAATTTAAAATTTGTAACATATAGATCAATGGAAATAACTTATAAATTAAAAGAAACAAATTTATTCCATAGTATATTTTATAGTTATGGTAAAAAGTCACTTATCTATAAAAGAAGTTAGGTAAATATTGATTGTAACAAGGGGTTTTGCTGGCCAGTTTTGCCATTTTTCTTAAGGATAAATGCTTTCAAGCACATTGCACTACCAAGATTAAATAGCAAAATGGCATTTTTGATGGCTAGCAGCCTCGTTAGCAAGTTAAAATTCACAAATCCAAGTCGATACAAAAAATTTATTGTACCACTATCAAAACATTGCAATGCTAATTTTCAATTTTGTTACTAACTGACTCTCTATTGTAAGAGCCTCCTATATGACAAGACTAAAATCTAAACTTCGCTTTACCTGGGGACGGTTTAGCTGAATGCGTTGTTGCATACTTTAATACTATATTTTAATTGCGAATGTACAAGTATAAGTCATAAAAGCTTTACCATTATCGTAGATTCATTATTTATCATATTTCAACGCATAGCTAATTTGTCGCAATATTTTAATATCTAGCTGCTTTATATACTCCCTCCATATTTCGGCAGGAAATTTATTTCTTGCCTCAAATGAAATGCCTTGTATGGAGCTATAATATAATTGTTTTTAATTGGAATTTTAGGCTCTGGATGCCAACTCCGTTGATTTTATTCCTGCTGATAATGCAAATAAAACTAAAAAGAAGCTGAATTTGGAGTTTACCTTAAATACCGAAGTATTTTGTAATGCAAAAAACTATTGAAGAGAGCACAATGATAAAATTTTCTCATCGATTCATTATAGATAGTCTGAATAGCATTATTCCGTAATGCGATGCAATTTGTATTGGTGGCTTTCAAGTGAATTATAAAGTAATAAATGTTTTGCAACGCATAATATTGAAGAGGTACAAAGTAATAAATGAATATTGAGTACATAATTGAAAGGACAAGAGAAAACTTCCAAGTGCTGACTGTATAAAGCAATCACAAGAGCTAAGTTGAAATGATTATGGGAGTCGTAAATTTTTTCACCTAAAGCGGACAGGGACAAGTAATATATATATATATATATATTTAAGAGATTTATCCACTCTAGTTCGTTAATGTGATGAAGGACTTGTATTAGAATTTTCTCTCAATCATATGAAAATGCCTTTTGTTTCGATTTAATTTCACATAGCCTTGCTTCTCAAAAGTTTATTTTCATCCAATGTGGACTAAAGTTTTAACCTCGCTCAGGTCTCACCCGCACCCCCAGTGGGACTCAAACCACGAGAGTCTTGAGTATAATTTCGAGACGTTAACCCCTAAGACACATTGCCATCAGTGCCCTTGGGTCACAGGGCCAAGGTGATTTGGCAATGCGACGCAGTCATTAATTTGTCGAGCTCATATGCCGCTCTACCACAACTTGAATTTGAGTGCAAATGGAGATGAAGATGAGACCTAGAACTAATTCCTGAGAAAAATGGACAAAATATAAAAGATTGTGTCTGATCCTAACATCCAATATAAGCTATGGATGCAGTATGGAGAGTTGACAAGCTGAAACACACCTAACCCCCTAATTTATAATAATAGATCCAAACAGGAAATTCTTTATATGACATATCTTCACCCTATTTCGTTAAGACAATGAAAGTTTGACAGCTGAATTTTTCAAAATTTTATATGAGTCGACCTTACATTTCCATTGAATGATAAATCCACTTGCAACTATATGTTTTTCATCACCTTAATGAAACAGGGTGAATAAATCTCACATAACTGATCTACTGGAAATCTCGAAAACCCATATATAAACAAAAAATAGAAAATATGTTCCTTTTTATAATGCAGTAACTTCAAATTAATTAAGCTTTAGCCATTATAATCAGGAATCTATTAAGAACTCTTTGATAAATTATTCTCAACGAGAATAAACTTTATAACATAGCACTCGTCCACATATTTAAGGTGCAGTTACCGAGCAGCGTGGGGAGCCTTTCGAAGTTGCGTACGATCTTATATCACTTGAGAAAGGTGTACTTTCTGCCTTCATACTTTCAACAGCAAAAGATTGCTTTTGATCGGTCATCTCTCTGGGCACGCCCGAAACTGTTTCCGTCATCAAGTCAACTAAGAATTTGGTATCACCAGTCATGGCAGACACCATCTTTCCAGGAAGAAATCTGCAGTAGTTCCGAACCAGGTGGATAAGCGTCTGTACTATCCGGGCCAGCCGACGAAACCGAGATCGTGGCTAGAGAAGTAGGATTATAAATTGTAATAGAAATTCATTATACATTATTCCATCTCAATGATTCGAATAAATCACTTATAGTAATCTAGTATTAATTGTTCGTTGTATTGTATCAACTGTCCTTTTACATACTCAAATTTATCCTAAATTTAGATCTTCCATAAAAGTATGCTTGACGGGAATTTTTATGCGAAAACTTTCATCAGCTTTTATAGTTCAATAAGGCTATACTCCACGTAGACATGAGATGACGGATTTATAATTAAAATCTTTAAGACAATTTTATGTTTAAACTCTACCTAAAAATGCAAGTAATAGATTTTCTAAACTATATTTTAGTTCTATTTAACTTTCGCTGCATATAAATGAACTCTTTCTAGCAGACCTGCCCTAATTGTCAGGAGAATAATAATTATCTGTCATTTAGCCATGCATTTTGCCATAATTGGAAATGCATGATGCTCATTTTCAGGCATTGTTTCAGCTTTGTAATGGCCTTGCGAGTGAGGATGCCTATGCTTAGCACAGAATTACATTAATTTCAGACGAAAAATGGAGCTAAAATTGTCGCCCAACGTTTATTTATAGGATATAGCTACTCCATCATATGTTTCATATATTCTTTTCTAACACTTTTCCTTCAGAAATCCTTTTCCCCTCTTAAATTGTACGAATAATATTCATCTCTTTACTTACATTCTGACTCCGATTCCCTTCATCATACAGATGTACATCCACTTAAGCGGTTTCTCTGGAACGCAATCTGTCTAAAATTGCCAGCTGAGCCACTGGGTTGAAACTTGTAATCATTGTTATTTAACCATTCTATCCTCGAATCCCTCTGCATAACTGTGTCTTACTTAAATGAACAATCCGTTACACTTAGGTCAGCTGCATTATCTATCTGAAATGAAGAAATATTTTTAGCCTGACTTTGACTGAATAGTTTAGACTACATGATCAGTTGGCTCTACTCGCAGGAAACCTATTTCCAACCTTGATTGCTGTCATTCGTGCCTTTAGGTGGACAGATTTTCATTTATCCTGCTCTCAACTATTTCTCTATTGTATATAACCGTCAAAAATTCTGTCCTTATTCTTATAGTTTGCTTCTATCCCGTCACTCGTTCAAATGATGTGAAACCAATTGTGTTAATCCACTTAGGATTTATCTCTGGAAATGATTCCGCTTAGATATTTGATGGTGGCTTGTGTTATACATATCTCTTATCCATTTCTTTGCCAAAACTGCATTTTATAGACTTTACTTTGAAGCATTGAAGTCGATAGATGCTCTAAATCAGCAAGGATAGTACGGAGATAAATAAAGTTTTATCTGCCTTACTCACAAGGATTTCTTAGTTCTTTTATATTTGGAAGGAAGTGGCCAGCCCCCAATTCACCTATAGGATACTTTCATCCCTTATCTTACTTTTGTAATCTTCATCTTTCTATTTTCTAATTATTCCTTCACATGAGATTGTGAGCATTCCGAAAAATTTATGTTAGCTCTTGGTCCCCAAAATTCTCGTTTGTTGCGTATTATGTACTACTCAATCTAATATTCTCTGCAATAATTAGTTATTGAAACTGATATTCAATTAAATCTATAAATTTTAATTAAGGCTTATTCTTTGAGCTTGTATAGCTACAATTATCTGACTATTTATGAACTTAAACTCCCTGTAAAAACAAATCAATAAATCATTCATTTACTAATTCTTTTTGCATAATAACTTAATTAATTTGAGAGGATTCTTGATAAATAAATTCCATAAACCATATATATATATATATATAATACTTAATTATTTGCAATCCTATTGTAAACAAAAAGGTGTAAAAAAAAGGTATTCCATCTAGAATAATCCTTACTAAGTAATGAAGTATTGGCCATACATGTTCACAATGATTATCTAAATATTTGGCTAATATCTACCATCTATGGAACCCTTATATATAGGATTCACTTGAATTGATTAAAGTGCTAGGCAAACAGAATATATAAAGTATGACATATTGGTTAATTTTGAATAAACGTACTCATATTCTAATATCCAGGGCATTGGAGACATATGAGTCCTAGATATCAGCCTTGAAACAATATTTAGAAATTTGCAGAAACATTGGCCTAAGCAAAGTCTCATTTACAGCCTAATCAATTGAATCAACTAGTTAATTCAATATTTAAGTGAAGTAATTCAATGTACATTTGGTAAATTTTCGGAATGTGGGTGAAAACATCAAATTCCTTGTATAAACGTAGCAAGACAACGTTATGGACAAACAAACACACTTATAAGAAACGAAAATATCTTCAATCGGAGGTAAATAAGATACTAATATAACTAGGCTTTATATCAAATTTATTTCCAACCAGAATTGAAGAATTTATGTTGGAATAGTTAAATAAATTATATACTTTAAGTATCTAGGCTGGGCTAACAGAGCTCAAATTAATTTTAAATTGTGTCGTATCAATGAAAATATTAAGAAAAAGGACAGCCCCTGGGCTCAAACATAAATATCGTATTAATGACTATGGATAAAGTGATAAATGGAACAGGCGCTCGCAAAAGTAGATCATTTGATAACACAGAATTAGCTTTGTTTCTGCTATTTTTCCATCTTTCAAAAGTGATTAGTGAAAGTCAGAACAAAGGTAGCTCTTATAGAGAAATTAACGTGGCAGAGATGTGTCTTCATTTGAATTGGAAATGGTCAATCCATAAATATTTCTGATGCCAAATCTTATGTCCTTGTAGCTGCTCAAATGTGGAATAAACCCGCCTAGAATGACTATCTAAAATTTTATGTGAATCTAGAAAGAATATGGCATATGATAGATCTTATTTGATAGAGTGGTCTCGAACTCAAATCTTTGCTATCTACGGGAAGCAAACTGAAAAAGTCTACTGATGCCATCGAGCTGAGTTACCAAGCAAATTACTAGGCTAAATTAGGGAGATTGTTTTGAAAGATCAAATATTTGAATATGAAATGCTGCC